CCTATATGAAATGTTACAGCTTCTGGAGCATTTCCTATTTCAGAAAGCCAATGGTTGCATCCTAGAATGATTTCCTAGGATGAGATATTGCAACAAGAAGAAAGTCAAGGAAAGTGTGGGCCCCTTACTGAATGAGGGAGGCAACCTAGCGATAGAGGATGTGGAAAAAGCTAATGTACTTAATGATTTTTTTGTCTCTGTCTTCACAAACAAGGTCAGCTCCCAGACTGCTGCACTGGGCAGCACAATATGGGGAGGAGATGACAAGCCCTCTGTGGAGAAAGAAGTGGTTCAGGACTATTTAGAAAAGGTGGACGAGCACAAGTCCATGGGGCCGGATGCGCTGCATCCAAGGGTGCTAAAGGAGTTGGTGGATATGATTGCAGAGCCATTGGCTATTATCTTTGAAAACTCATGGTGATCCAGGGAGGTCCTGGATGACTGGAAAAAGGCTAATGTAGTGCCCATCTTTAAAAAAGGGAAGGAGGAGGAGCCGGGGAACTACAGGCCAGTCAGCCTCACCTCAGTCCCTGGAAAAATCATGGAGCAGGTCCTCAAGGAATCAATTCTGAAGCACTTAGAGGAGAGGAAAGTGATCAGGAACAGTCAGCATGGATTCACGAAGGACAAGTCATGCCTGACTAACCTAATTGCCATCTATGACGAGATAACTGGCTCTGTGGATGAGGGGAAAGCAGTGGACGTGTTATTCCTTGACTTTAGCAAAGCTTTTGATACAGTCTCCCACAGTATTCTTGCCGGCAAGTTAAAGAAGTATGGGCTGGATGAATGGACTATAAGGTGGATAGAAAGCTGGCTAGATTGTCGGGCTCAATGGGTAGTGATCAAAGGCTCCATGTCTAGTTGGCAGCTGGTATCAAGCGGAGTGCCCCAAGGGTCGGTCCTGGGGCCGATTTTGTTCAAGATCTTCATTAATGACCTGGAGGATGGCGTGAACTGCACCCTCATCAAGTTTGCAGATGACACTAAACTGGGAGGAGTGGTAGATACGCTGGAGGGTAGGGATAGGATACAGAGGGACCTAGACAAATGAGAGGATTGGGCCAAAAGAAATTTAATGAGGTTCAACAAGGACAAGTGCAGAGTCCTGAACTTAGGACCGAAGAATCCCATGCACTGCTACAGACTAGGGACCAAATGGCTAGGCAGCAGTTCTGCAGAAAAGGACCTAGGGGTGACAGTGGACGAGAAGCTGGATATGAGTCAACAGTGTGCCCTTGTTGCCAAGAAGGCTAACGGCATTTTGGGCCATATAAGTAGGAACACTGCCAGCAGATCGAGAGACGTGATAATTCCCCTCTATTCGACATTGGTGAGGCCTCATCTGGAGTACTGTGTCCAGTTTTGGGCCCCACACTACTGGAAGAATGTGGAGAAATTGGAAAGAGTCCAGCGGAGGGCAACAAAAATGATTGCAGGGCTGGAGCACATGACTTATGAGGAGAGGCTGAGGGAATTGGGATGGTTTAGTCTGCAGAAGAGAAGAATGAGGGGGGATTTGATAGCTGCTTTCAACTACCTGAAAGGGGGTTCCAAAGAGAATGGATCTAGACTGTTCTCAGTGGTACCAGATGACAGAACAAGGAGTAATGGTCTCATGTTGCAGGGGGGGAGGTTTAGGTTGGATATTAGGAAAAACTTTTTCACTAGGAGGGTGGTGAAGCACTGGAATGGGTTACATAGGGAGGTGGTGGAATCTCCTTCCTTCGAGGTTTTTAAGGTCAGGCTTGACAAAGCCCTGGCTGGGATGATTTGGTTGGGGATTGGTCCTGATTTGAGCAGGGGGTTGGACTAGATGACCTCCTGAGGTCCCTTCCAATCCTGATATTCTATGATTCTAAGTCTCAGCAAACAGAACAATGCACTGCAACAGACACGTGCTGCTTTTTACTATGTTTACTGTACATTGCATGGATTCCACAAACAACTTTTGTATCCATGTGCTAAATTTAAATACCCAAGTTTGAAAATATTGTCCTTAGTATATTGCAGGACTACAGCAGGATTACAAGGCCTTACAATTCAGTTGAATTTGAGAGACGAACAGAACCCAGCTATCTCTCCCACAGTTATGCTGTCTCTGTAATGCTGAGAAATAAAGAACACTAAACAAGTATGTTTACTACAAATCATACAGGGAGAAGATCTGTTGAATTTATCATTTCACAGTCTCTTTGCAAAGTAAGACCTGCAGTTCAACACAAACTGTTTCACACAAAGTTCTATCTACAGCTTTGATGACTCCCTTGCCTCACACACTGGGATTTATAAATGCAATTTGTATGTTGTGCATACCAAATCCACGCATTATTCTGAGATCCCAATTCTCTAGTGTTTGGTTTAAAAACAAGCCAAGGGAATGTGAAGATCCACACAATGTATTATTATTATTATTTCCCGAAATCAAGCTGAATATTAGTTTTAACAAAATTTTGGGACGAAACTACACAATAATGTTCAAAGCGCTACACATCTTTCAGAATTTTACGTTAAGAGGTTATATCGTTACCCGAAAGAGTAAGCCAGAGAAAAAGGACTAGATAACGTAAAAGGGTTAAGGGACAAGAAATTATACACAATAGAAAAGAAATGAAAACTGTTTGCTATAGCAAAGCCACTGTTTCCCAAGGCAACAGAATAGATGGGGCACTGCATCTGGAAATGCCAACTCGGTATGGCAAGTGGCCAGGAACAGACTGTGCCATCAACTGACTGGACACTCATACCTACCAGCACCCAGTTTGCCCCGTGATTTAACATTAAAAAAAAATTCTAGTTATGTGCTCAGTAAAAGTATGTTTTAACATAATGTCATTTAATTAATTCATTCACCAAAACAAAGTCACAAGGCAGCACTCACCAAAAGCACACTAACCATTGTAATTTTTTACTGAAGCATCAGTTAAAGTTATCCACTTTGTAGTTATCACATCTAAACAGATATTGACTCATGAAAATTGTAAAAAACAAAATACAAAATCTAGAAGTAACAAAGTTTCTACACTTCAAATCATTCCTGAGAAATATGCGTTTCTGAAGTGATAAACAAAAGCATACAAACTCTGTATAAGATGATCACAAACTTTCCTCCCAAAATGTTTTTTGGAAATAATGGAACCAACCACATAGGACAACTGTGCCACAAAACCTTGTTTCTTGCATTAAAAAATGTTTAATATGACTGAAAGCAAAATGCTTTTTTCACACAGCATTGGAAACATACAGCAGAAGCAGAACAGGATAAGGATGCACAGCTACTATCCACATCTAAAGAACAACACAGCAAAAGTTTTAAACCTCTGCTGCTTTTACCCATCCCTGAAGGGGCAGGAAAAGACTGCACCAGAATGATTGAATCTGTTTCTTTATAAATTTCTACATAAATCCAGAAGAAAAAATGGGGATGAGAGGGACGTCCTAGGAGGAGACCCATGGGAATATGGCACACCGGGAGGAGGATGGGGGGCAGATAAAGAACATGGCAAAAAGTAATCTAATAAAGACATATGAAGTCTGATGGGATTTTATGTAGAAGCCCATGGGGCCGTGGGTTATATGAGGGTGATATGAAGAGCTGGATGGGGGATGACCATAAGCATGGAAGAGCATATATTCTAGTGGGTCCCAAGGGTAAAAGGGGCTATTGGGAGAGTAGGTATCCCAGTTGGTCCGGTCCTCTGGGAAGGTATAGGGAAGTATGGGGCGGGCTGGTATCCCAGTGGGAGTATTATGGCTGGCGCTGGGAGGGGTCATCTCTCCTTGTGTCCCCTAGAGGGAATTGGGAGGGGCAGGGGGTCATGTCTATCCAGGAAGATCTCAGAGGTATGGGAGGGATGTGTCCTGCAAAGATGAAAGAGTGTCCAAGGGTGTCCTGTCCCAGCAGGATGAGGGATAGGTGCACGGGAAGAGATACCCTGTCCCAATGGGCTATGTAGGCAGGGTACCCCCTGTTCCAGCTGGATGAGGCAAAGGAGAGGATCTCTCTCAGTAGACTATTAAGGGTACTGTGGGGTGCCCCAGCAGGGGTATGTTCTGGTGGGAAGGGTGGTCCCCAAGTCAGGAGGGATTCCCCTACGGGATATGGGAGGGGAGAAGTGTGCCCAGCGGGGATATGGGAGGGCCCTGGAGTGGCTGTTCTGGAGAAATATGGAGGAGAGGGGGAATCTTGGGAGAACTCTCCTCACAGAATACTAGGAGTTCCTGGGAGGCTGTCCCAGAAAGACAGAGGTCTGTCCCAGCAGGATATGGAAGAGCCCGCCCCAGTAGGATATGGGGGGGTTCCAGGGTCCCTTGGGGGGGGGGCTATCCTGGAAGGATATGGGGGGAACAAGAGAGGTTATCATAGAGGAATATGGGGTGGCTCGGAGGCGGCTGTCTGGAGGGAGATGGGGGTCCCATGGGAGGTCCATCCAAGCAGGATATGGGGAGTCCTGTGGGGAGGGAGGCTGTCCCAGACTGATGTTGAGGTTTCCCGGGGGACCCAATGCCCGCGAGATATGAGGAGTCCCATGGGGGTGAGGGTTTCTGGGGGACCCGATGACAGCAGAATGGGGGGGTTCTGGGAGGGGAAGGCTGTCCCAAAGGGATGTCAACGGTCCTGGGGGAGCCCCATGCTGGAAGAATATGGGGAGTCCCAGGGGGGAGGCTGCACCAGAGAAATATGGGGGGTTCCATGAGGGGGCTGTACCCAAAGGATATAGAGAGTCCGGATGTCCCAACCCGGTGGGATATGGGGAGTGCCATGGGATGGCATCGCGGCAAAATAGGGGGGTCCCGCGAGGGGAGGCTGTCCCGAAGGGATGGGGGGATCCCATGGGAGGCTGTCCGGGAGAAATAGGGGGGCTCCGTGAGGGGACTGTCCCGGACGGATGGTGGGGGTCCGGATGTCCCGTCGGGATATGGGGAGTCCCGCGGGGGGGGCCGTCCTAGAGGAATGGGGGGCCCGGCGGGTTATGGGGGAGGCGAGGCTCCGCACTCACTTTTTGTGCTTGTCCCTCCTGCCGGCCGCCGCGGGCTGCTTGGGCCGCCGCCTCCGGGCCTGCAGGGCCAGCACTGGGGAGAGACGGGCACAGGTTAGTGGGCGCGCGCGGGTACTTTCCTCAGCCCCCCTCGGAGGAGCCGGTACCGCTGCCGGGCTCCCGCAGCCGCCCGGGATGGTACCTTTCCGGGAGCTCATCGCTCTGCCCCGCCACCGGCCCCTCACCCGCCGCCCGCCAGCCGGGTCCGAGCGCCGGGCACGGAGCAGCAGCAGCCCCTCCAGCGAACGCGCAGGCGCAGCCCCCCGGCAGGGCCGGCGAGGGACAGAAGGGGCGGGACGGTGAGAGGGCGGGCAGGTACCGCCCAGGCCGCGGGTCTGCAGCGCCCTCCCTTCCCTACTGGCTTCGTTAGTGCCTCCCAGCCTTCCCCAGGGTCCCAAGAGCAGCACCTCGCGTCCCCAGTGGAGACCGGGCGCCTTTACGCTAGGCACTGTACACACAGTACTAAGAGGCAGGTCCTGTCCCACGGACCTTACAAACAAGCCAGAGGAAAGAAGACCAGGCTGCTGGGGGGAAACTACTTGCCCCACCTGGCCAATGGGCTCACAGCCAGAAAGAGAACCCAGCTCTCCCACCCCGTACCCTGATAGTCTTGCTGCTGGACCCCTCTGTTTCCCTCTCTTCACCACTCTCTCTTTCATATTAGAAAAAGGTTTTAAGCAGTGTTCTCATATTCATGTTTCCTAACACCTTCCAATATATATTCCTGCAACCTTTTTTGTTTTGTTTTGAGAACCTCTAACAACTCCATTGCTCCTGGCAGGACTTGGATTTTGGCAGGGGAACAGGCCTGAGGTCAGAGAGATGCCTTTTGCTACGGAGATAAAATTCCATTCAAAGTTAGCCTAGTTATAAACTGTTGAAAATTACCCTTTTTCTCTATGTGGTTTGTGTAGTATGGCTTGATTTAGTAGTATACCCCAAACCCTGAGCAATGTGAAGGCTCTCAGTTCAGCATTACACACACACAGCACAAACACTGCATGAGTCACATATACATTGCACTGGGAACTCCTAGGAGTAGAGTTGTTACCAGTTTAGCTGTAGTAATAGGACAGGGAGAGAAAGACACTGCCCATTTCCTTCTTTGGATATCACATGAAGAAAGAACTGGATAAGAACCCCAAAAGAGGAGACCGTGGTGCATAATGGAAGTTGTAGTCTGATGAAAAACAACACAGCCTATAGAGGAGACTGAGAACATGAGGCACCTGGACTACCACTCCCATAAGGCACTGTGGTGGCATTTCTGAATTTAAATATTTTGGTTTTCTATTTTTTGTCAACAAGTCAAAATTTTCCCCGGGGGGATATTTGTCAACCAACTCTTCTATTCATGCATAGGTCACCCATTGTTTCAAAGTGTTATTCAACCTCCTCTAATGGCAGATTCATGTAGGAAAACACATCTCCTCTGTTACAATTCCATGTAGTTAGTCTGGTGGATCAAGTGGTGGAACTCTGTACTATACTACTGAACTTTCAGTATTCAGATACTGCTGATACATGATGGGGGACAGCTCTGTATAACTAAAGCTGATGCTGATTGATGCAAGATCTGCCACTACCAACAATACATGACTTAATCAGTGATGAAGTACCTGATATAATGTTCATCAATGAGACCTGTCTGGATGACACTGCAGTCCCTGTGCTCGCCCACTCCCCAGGATATTCAGTACACCACATACCTAGACAGGATAAGAAAGCAGGTGAGAACTGCATTCATCATCTCTGCAAATATCAAAAGCAAGAGAGGCGCTTCAGGTGAGGTAAGACAACTTCATTTAAATTCATTCATCTGACAATAGAAACCAAAGCCAACATAGATGTTATGCTTATTTAGAGACCACCACAGACAAAAAGATTCATAAAAGTGGTGAAATACCCCACATTTGCCATCCTGGGAGATTTCAGCACTCACACTGACAAGGCTGCAGATGCGAAACCCGCAACATTCAATCTCACTTGTCCCACTAGGACTTTCACAAGTCATTTCTATTCCAACCCACTCAGCTAGTCATATCCTGGACATGATCTCCAGCCTAGCTATCATGATAGAAGACATTACAACCCGGCCAGTGTCTTGGCCACACCATCACCCCATTAAGGGAGTGGGAAGAGACCATCCAGCACTCTAGCAACAAGAAAGACCAATGATCCTGATTTAACCTTAAGGACTCCAACAAATTCTAAAACCTGCTTAAAGGACAACAAGTCAAAGACTTGGAGAATCATTACCATTCTACAGTGCTCTCAGCCATTGACAAACCGGCCTTACAAATGGCCCCTTCTTTGCCATCACTCACACAGATCTCCTTGGTTTTCAGATATCCTGTGTGGGTGAAGAGTGAGGGGCAGAAACTCAAGCACTGATGGCTGAAAACAAAGGCTGATTCAGACAGTATGAAACAACAAATTCCTCAAAGCCTATGCTAAGCCTGTATTACTGTCCAAGAGAATTTTCCTATTGGCCTCTACTGAGGCTGCCAAATCCTGCCACAAGGAGCTATCTAGGGTGGTAAATTGTTCAATTAATCCTGAATGCCTACAGTCTGCATCAGAGCTAAGCACCAAGCAATGTAAATAACTATCATCCTACTTTGCTGAAAAGATCACGCACATTCAGGAAGCGCTGTCGAACAGGATAGGTCCTCTCTGTCTGCACCCACCCACCAATAGCCCATCTGCATTCTCAGAGTTTAATACATCCACTCATCAAGAAGTTCTGGATACTTCTGTTACCCTAACAGCATCACAATGCAACAGCAAGCTAATAACATTCTGATCATTAATATTATTGTGTGGTATATGTATGGAGGATAATTACAAACATGCAAAATTATGTTATCAAACTGTGTCTGCCAGGAAAGGCTAAAGTTACCACACTCTAGACAAAGAAATGTGGTTCTGCCACGTGGAAGGTATTTCCAAGGTACATGAACAGACAATGGGATGCAATTTATATAGAAGATAAATAGGACCATCAAGCTGATAATTTGAGGAGATTTCCCTCTGCTGTGATGCTCAGAGGTTGAGTTTTCAGGGAACAGATCAATTTGCATTTTAGCAAGCACCAGCAGGGGAAGAAACCAGCATGGAACTTCCTTCGCCCCCAAACTCCATGTTGCCTTCCTCACAGTTTGAATGAACTTTACTTTGGGGGTTAATCTTTGGAAGAATCCATTTCAAAGTTGCACAGAACCTCAGGTTATCTGTCAACAAAGACGACAAAGAAACCAAACACCTTGGACTTTGTGGGAGATTCTGAGCAAATGGGTGGTCAGCCCTCTTGCTGGAAGGTAGATTGGTAAGGAAACTACCTTGAATGAAGGCTGTACCTAGTTTTGTTAAGTCTTAGCCTCTAAAAAGCATTTGTCACTTTTATTTGCTTTTAACCATTTCTAGCTCTATCCTTTACACTCAGTTAAAATACTATCTTCTTTTGTTAATAAATTTGTTTTGCTTTTAATCTAAACAAACCCAGTGCTGTGTTTGACTTAAAGTGAATGTTAACTCCAGTAAATGTGGCAAGCTGGTGGGTATTGTATCTTCAAAGGAACAAACAAACCTTAATATCTTTCTGCGTGGTTCAGGAGAGGGATAAACACTGCACAGTGCATGGTTTGGGGAAAATTTGGGACTGGGGATTGTTGGGGTCACTCTGCCAGGTGCAGGGCTGGCTCTAGCTTTTTTGCTGCCCCAGGCAAAAAAAAAAAAAGGTGGCTGGACTGCCAAACAAAAAAACCCAAAAAACGGCAGCCACAGGAAGCGTGTGGAGGGCGGTCAAGGCGGCTTGCAGGGGGGTGAAGGGCGGCACCCGCCCGCTCCCTCCACCCATGGGCAGCCCTCCGGCCTTGGGGTGCCTCTCCTGGCCGGGCAGGCAGAGCCCCCAGGGGCTGCAGGAGGTGCTGGCTCAGCCGCTCCTTTAAAGGCGGCTCGGCCGGGCTGGGTTCAGAGCGGCGCGGGAGGCAGAGGCCGGTGCAGGCGGGAGGCAGAGGCGCATCCTGGGGAGCCTGGCGGCACGGTGAGCGGCGGGGATCGCTAGTTCGTGCCCCTGCAGGGCTGGGCTGGCCGCCCCAAAATTGGCCAGAATGCCGCCCCTTACAATGTGCCACCCCAGGCACGTGCTTTCTCATCTGGTGCCTGGAGCCGGCCCTGGCCAGGTGTAACCAAGGCTGGTGGAGGCCAGAGTGTGGCAGTGGTGTAACAACGGGTTACTGGAATCAGAAGTCCTGAGTCAGAGCTCCTTAACACAGAGACACAGAGTGCATGCTTGTATGCTGTCTGAAAGCATCCACGCAAGAGAGTTACAGCAGCAGAGCATTTTGGGCACTCAGGGTTACAGGGCAGGCAGTGACAACTCCTCACAGGTCTGGATTGCATTCCAGAATATGACAACCTGTCACAGAGCAGCCCCTCCTGGAGCACCCTCCTGCAGCAGGCAAAAGAAAGGCAGGTGTGCCTGCTTCAGTTTCATTCCTTTAGACACTCGAGAAATAATCCAAAACCAGCCTTCCCAAGTATATATATATATATATATATATATATATATATATATATATATATATA